CTGTCCTTCCAGTGAGCACTCAGGTCTGATTTCTCCTCCAGCACCATAATTCAAAAGAATCAATTTTTCGGCGATCAGCCTTCTTTATGGTCCAGCTCTCACTTCCATACATCACTACCGGGAAAACCATGGCTTTAACTATACGGACCTTTGTTGGTAAGGTGATGTCTCTACTTTTTAAGATGTTGTCTAGATTTGCCATCGCCTTTCTCCCAAGGAGCAGGCGTCTTTTAATTTCGTGACTGCTGTCACCATCTGCAGTGATCATGGAGCCCAAGAAAATAAAATCTCTCACTGCCTCCATTTCTTCCCCTTCTATTTGCCAGGAGGTGATGGGACCAGTGGCCATGATTTGTCCTTAGATTTCTCTAAAGTGGCATTTGTCCTTAGATTTCTCTAAATGTATACCATGCGTGTACATGCAGAGTGCATTGAGATAGAAAATTTTGTTCCAGCTACCCAAGCAAATTGACGTGAGTCTTGGGAATTTTCTTACTGTTAGGAATGAAGTGATGATGTCATTCTGCCTGTTCTGGAAGCTATTTTCCCTAGAGGCAGAGAAAGCCAGAAGGGACCATGTCCACATACATAAGGAAGGAAGACCCACTGATCTTTCTCCATCCATTCTTCACCTCCCTCCTCTTTCCCTTTAGAGGCCAATTTCCTTGACTTTCCCTTTCCAACTTTTAGGGGGCGAAATAGCAATTAAAAATAAATAAGAGGAGCTAAAGAAGAGGAGCTAAAGAGGAGCTAAATAAGAGGAGCTAAAGAACAGGTGCTGGGGGGGGTGCATGCCAGCAGCTCTTCTTTCTCTGCACATGCGATTGTGATTCTCCTCCAGCTTTCTCAGCTTATAGGTTGAAGAGCATCCATGAAGAACAGGGTTGCTCTTATGACTGTTAGTAAATCTAATGTGCAACCTAGTTCTTAAGAGCCTTATGATGACTTCTTTTTGTTTAGGGTACTGTCAGAGGTAGATGTAGGGCAGCATGACTGGTTGCCTTGCACAGGATACAGGAGCCAAGGGGGTGTCTTCCCATCACTTTCCCCAAGTACTTTTCACCTAAGAAACCACCATCTTTGTATAATCAGGCTTTGTTTTCCCAGTGATGGTTCTATATTTTTCCTCTGCTACAGAAAACTCAACTTCTCTTTCTTTCTTTCTTTCTTTATTTTTAAAAAAAGTATGAAACATTAGAAAATACTCCACAGGTTTGGGAGTTTCTTTTCACTGTTTTCTCTTCTTTTTAAAAGGTTCCTCCCCCTGGTTTCTGCCTGATTAATTACTTCCTCTTTGTACTTCTGCTAATATAATCGCCCCTCCCCCTGTAATTAGAGACACATCGTTTCCCATTCTGTGTGTGTTCAATTAATCAGGCTGCAAGAGGAGGGGACTGAACTTTCCTAGGGCAGCGTGGACAACATGCAACCAGAGGAAAAGTCACTGAGCATAAGCCCCTGTGCTGGCTCACCTTTGTAGCAATGGTTAAGCACCTGCAAGAGGTTGGGAGAAAGGAGAAGAGACCCATGGCTGTTGCATGGGTAGGCTATAACAGAGTACATAAACACACCTAAGTGAAAATGTTCTGCTGCCATTCCTGTTGCAAGAAAAAAGAGGAAAAGCCACTGTCAGAGAGCACTAAGAGCCTTGTATCTGGGACCGCCCCCCCTTACTTTGACTTTACAACCTCATAGTACTTGTTGCTGCAGACAAAAGAGAAAGTTGCTAGGATTCAAATTACAGTCACTAATGAAATGAGCAGACCAAGGATAAAAAAGGGGCCAGCATTAACCAATCTATTTATAATTTTCAAATGGGAAACCATGTTTCATCTCAAATAAAGACATCCCGCATCCTCCCCGTGTATTTTTGGAATATACATTGTAGGATGCCATTCAAGTGGTGAAAGGGTGGCAATCAGAGAAACTTCTCTTAGGGGCCTTTGAAGTGAAGGTTGAGTCATTATTATTCATCACCAGGCTAGTTTGTGTGCTCATTTAGGTGACAGTTGTTTTCTCGAAAGAAAACAGCCTCTCGATGCTTTTTAATTCCTGAAAATAAAAGAAACAAGGGCTGTCAAGGCATCCGGATGTAGGGCTTTGAAAGCAGTGTGCAAGGAAACAAATTTAAATCCAAGGGGAAAACTGAGTGGCATAAGAAGGAAAGAGCCAACAAGAACACTGTTTAGCCATTCTTTAATGTTTCAGAGACAGTGTTATATGGCTAAGCGCAATATATCTCTTATACTACATTTGTAAATGATGTGCACTGTCTGTGCATTGCACAGTGCTGAACAAAGAAGGAATATGCTTTCATTGCTCTTCTGTGTCACCATGGCAATTTTAAAGTACAGTTTCTGTAGCATTAATCAGAAATGCAAAGGCATAAGTTAAGGCCAGTGGACAGTGTATTGGAAAACCTTGATTCAAATTTTGCCACAGCTATGACTCGCTGACCCAATTCAGATTACACACTAAACCAGGGTTATGGAAGCTAAACTCTGGACAGACCATGGTTTACAATTGGTAGGTGAAACAGAAGTAGGGTTGCAGTTCAGCAGCGCTTCCAGGGCAATTTACAAAAATCATAATACAATATAGAACTGTAGAGTTGGAAGGGAGCCTGAAGATTGTCTAGGCCATGCAGCTGTCCCATACAGGGATCAAACCTGCAACCTTGACATTGTCAGCACCGTGCTGCAGCCAACTTTGCTATCCAGCCTCTAGGCAATAAATTGCAACAGATTATGATAGCTAAATGGAAAGTAACTGTGACTCTCAGAGGTGTAGCTTACATTTTGCTCCGGGTTATTCTGGAAAAACAAGAGGCATCTAGTTGGAGAAGCTGGAATTTGGATTTACTCTGCAAGGTAGTTCTTGCAAAAGAACCTGCTTAATAGAGCAGACCATTATGCTAAATAATATTCTGTTTGCTGGAGCTTGCATGTTTATTTTCTTTGATAAGAACTGGGCTCTGTAACAATGTAGTAAATGAGTTGCAAGTCAAATGTAGATTGTCACTTGACAATGGCATGCTTAGTTTTTTTCATGGCAAGTCCATGAAAAGTCCATGTAGTTTCCCAGCATAATTACACGCCACAAAAAGGGCAAGTACACATTGCATGCCATTTCATACAATGGGATGCCTTCCATGTGGGAAATCCATAGCATGGAAGTGGCCTTACATAAGGTAATACACTCAGGGGCTGGATGAAGGGTGTGGGGGGGGGGTGGCTGCCCCAGGTGTCACCACTGAGAGGGGTGACAAAATGCCAGGCACTACTCACCGCGGGGCCTGCAGCGCACCCGAGCCATGCCTGGGAGTGATGTGGTGGCTTGGGCACCCGCAGGCTCCGCACTGCCACAAACGGTCTGCCCATTGCCTCCCACCCAGCTTTAGGGTAGCTGAGTAGGAGGAGGCAGGCAGACTCCTCGGAGGCCCCACAAAGCATCCTGCCCCAGCTTGTCCCACCCCGCAGGTGGCTGGCCCCACCCCTGGGAGCAGGGCACGCGCACCACCCCAGGCGCCGGATCAGCTTGCTCTGCTGCTGAATACACTTGATCATTTTCTCTTTGTATGTGCAAACTTCTTAACATTACAGAACTTTGCAGAATTAACCTAGCCACACTTCCTTCCTTTAAACAATGCACATAAGTCAACTCTTTTCTTCAGAGCCCTTTTAAGAGTAGATTGATGTGGTGAAGTGAATTCACCGTGCGTTTTCTTACACTTTGCCTCTCATTTTTCAACTTCCTGCACCCATTAAGAAATACCCCGCTTCAGATCCCAAAAGCTACACCCAAGGTGGGGCAGGGAGAGAAACAAAACAGGCTATCATGTTCATGTAAATGAGGCTGTTTTGAGTTGTGCAGATGCGGAAGCCGCTGTCACTGGTGAACGGAAACAGCCCTGCTGTGGTACTAAAAGCAGCTTTATCATTCAATTCAGTAGTTGTTTGGCAAGCTCATGCCCAAGATGCACATGGAAGAGGAGGATCTGGCTGTCTCTGATGAAGCAGATGATATCTTCTGTGAAGGTAAATGATCTCTAACAAAGCTGCTGCTGCTTTTGCTGTCACATGTTGAAGATAGGGTGTCCACATTATATTTCTTAAAGGATCAAGTGTTCTTGAAGAGTCAGGAAGCTGCAGGGATGAAAACACACCACAAAGGGATGCCTTTCTCCTGTTAAATAAAAAGGCATTGTGGGTGTGATATAACGAATGAGATTCATATTAGTTACAGAGAAAGCTTACTGCAAAAGAGGGCAGTAGGCTTTAAGCTAGTCCTGCAGCCCTAGTCTGATGCACGCTTACTCACAAGTAGAGTTAGGGATTTACACCCTACCAAATATGCATAGAAAAGGTATAGAAAACTATAACACTAAATCTATAGTTGCAGGTCGCATGTCACTAAAGTGGTTGCTCTTACACATGTGCATAAACATTTGCAACTCCTACTGATGTAATTTTTAGTATGCATGTAAAAATCAACTTCAGTGCGGCTTGGCTGGCTTAAGCAGTTGTAGATCATGTCTCCACGTCTCCAGAAGCGAAGAGTATTACAACCACCTGAGAGCCATTTTCAGCTGGATTATAAAACTGTGAAAGCAACAGAGAATGATTTATCTGTCTATCATTGTTTTTGCTATCCTGTCACAGCTTTTCTTGTGTTGCATAATGTTAGGATCTGCATAGAACTATAGCACGAAGTTCAATGAACTTTTGGGTGGTTTAGCTCATGTGCTGCAAGCTGCAGTTCCCAGTCGAAATCTCAGCTTGGCCACAAACCTTTCCTCAGCATTCAGTCTCCAGTCTGAATACAGTGAGCTAATAAATTAGGGAGCTAATAAAATTGACCTATTTTACAGTGTACCTGGAACACCAGGATTTTGCTACATAAATGTAAGAGACCCTCTGGGCCCACCACCCATGATATCCTGATAACAGCATGGTAGGGAGGTAGGATGGGTGGGGTATATGTTTGTGGGACCCATCTCTCTTGCTGAATTTGTATTTTCTTCTGTCTGGAACATTTGGAACAGTTTTGCTTGTTTTATAATTGCAATGGTTTTATCTGTTTTCATAATTGTGCATTCTGTTGTTGGAACCTTTGGGTAAAAAATATTTTTGAGCAACTAAATAAATAATGGCAGTGGGCTGCCTGCGACTTGTAAGAAAAGCGCAGCCAATGCCATCTTAATTTTTCCAGAATGCAACATGGGGCTCAGAGGCCTGTGTGCATGTGTACAACTTGCTGAAAGGTCATACATTTTGGAGCCTGAGATAGTGAAGGGTCATTAGAAGCAAATTTAGTGAAGGTCTCATCGGCTGCTCTGAAATATTTCATTGTTTGGTATGACATCTTTGGTGTGGTAGATTTGCACAGGAGTGTATTTTCATTCACTAGTGGACAGTACATTCAGCATGGCAGTAGATACCAGAGAATCCAAGAATCCATCCAATTTCTTTTTCATTGTATGATGCTTTCTAATTTGAAAGTTAGCTGGTCTTGAGCTGATGGAGCTTGGAGGCAACTGGAATGGCTGTTGATGATGGGCGAGCATAGCTGTGGATACAACAACAGTTTCATGACAATAAAAAGTGGAGGCTGAATAGAACTCTGCAGTGCACCAAATCTTTAAAACGGCACATTAACATCTCTCAACAGGTGGTGAAACTGAGTCACTTACTGCTACCCTACCACAACAGGTGTATCTGTTTGCAATGAAGCAGAAGGGAGCATATGCCTTTAGTTACTGGGTTCTTACGTATTTTATTCTTGCCAAGGATCTCTGTGCATCTTTATCCTGATTAATCATGTATGCATAATCCATAAGAATTCAGTTTATACAAACAACTTGGTTCTCCTTCCTTTTGAACAGCTGGTGATTTCACACGTCCCTATCCCTCCTTTAAGTCTGTGTGTATGACAGCTAGAGATACTCAAAGTAGCTGACAAAAACAATCCCCTTACCTAGCTGGGTAAGACAGGTTTCTTTCCTACTCTGAATTGCTTTGACTGTCAGCAGCGTCCACTCACTTCTGGTTTCAAACAGAGTACCAGTAATTGTAAGATCAGAAGTGAAAACACCTACACAAGCCAAATGATTTGGGGCAGGCCCTGAATAAGCTGCAGGTGGTAAACTGCTACAAGGTTGTTTTGTTTGTATTGCCTTTATCACCATAGCATTCTGGCAGAGTGAAGTCACTGGAGAGAAAGAGCATCTATTGAAAGAGGCGCTGTTTGATTTCTATAGGAAAACATGGTGAACACGTCTGTACTTCTCCACCTGCTGTCATTCTTCAGAAGACAATTTAAATATCTCCAGGTCAGATAAACACCCACATGTGTGCCAATGCATTTAGCAAAGTCAATGTACCTTTCCGTATATTTCTTGAAAGCATAAGCCTGTTACCCTTTTTTTATATATTGATGGGAGGTTCTGCTGCGGCTAAGATTTTTCCATGATTTCACATTGGCTTGGTTTGCACAGAAAGTGGAGAGGAATTCACAGCTGCTTTGCTCCTCCCAGTCCCTTTGCTGCCATGCTGAGATAAGGTTTGGCTTAGCATGCCATCCGAACTGGGATTTGTGGTTAAGGTCTGTCTTCACTAAACACAAGCCGTAGCCAAGGTTAGTTCTTTGCTACTGTTCATGGTTGGTGGTGAGAGAACTTAACTATGAGTCCAGGTTTGGATGACACACTAATCCAAACCTTTGCTGAGCTCAATGTGGTACTAAAAAGGACCAGGGAGGAGACAATCAGTTAAGACCTCCCCAGAAGTCGGCAGATTTGTGCAGTCCCGGTATGCCATAGTTTGGTTTACTGTGTCATGTGAACCAGTGCTGGAACAATGAATCATAGAATTGTAGAGTTGAGAGGGATCACAAGGGTTGTCTATTCCAACCCCCTGCAATGCAGGAATCACAGCTAAAGAATCATGACAGATGGCCATCCAACCTCTTTCTTTAAAACCTCCAGTGAGCCTGACTTGGAGAGTCATTGGCCAATTACAAAGAAAAATAAATTATGATTAAAAAGCACCATAGATTATCTTTGAAGATGTTTAGTAGGGCCAGTTCTAGGATGACTTCTAATACTTGCTTAGTTCTTTTGCATATTTTTTGTATGATTGATGTCCAGATGCGTTGGATTTTAGGACATTCCCACCACATGTGGAGGTATGTGCCTGTGGAGGTGCATCTTCTCCAGCATTTTGATGAGGTTCCTGGGCAAATTAGCGTTAGTTTCCATGGTGTTAGGTACCACCTGTAAGTGAGTTTAAGAGTGCGTTCTTTTATTTTCACTGATATGGATTTAAAGGGAGGTTTAGACCACATTCTGGTCCATTGGGTGGGGTTAATCTCATAACCTGAAAAATGGAATGGCTCTTCAAAGCACATACTTTACAGTGCCTATACTAATCATATCTAGTAAGCTGTATTGAATCACAGGTTTTACCAGGTAAAACGGGGGTTATTAGATCTCTCTCAAGACATAAGAGATGAATTAATATTAGCCCCTAATTTATTGCAATGTCCATGAGACAGCTACCCAACACCATGCCTATGCTTGCCTTTAGGGCCTTAATTGTTCCCATTCTTTCCATTTTCCAGCTGAGTAACTTGCTTGGATGCTCTTATGCTACATGACCCATTTTTCAGCTGTTTCTGCTAAGATGACACAGAGTTTCTCAAACATTCCACAGCACTCGAGATATCTCACTTCAAAGATGTTTGAGCAAATAGTGAGCCTGAAACTTGCCACCAAGAATCTCTGAGATCCTTCTCATTTATTTATGTGTTTACTTTATTGAATATTAATTGCATCGTTCTCCTTTAAATTAATTCAGATCATCTTTCCATTTGCCCTTTGCAGTAAAGGCATACAAATCCCTACGTACGTGCATATAACCCCTAAACACTTTTTTTATTTTTTTAAAAATGTTATACAGAAGGTGGATACTGTGGTAGCAACGGTAACTTGCTGCACGGCCTGCCTGCCATAGAAAAGCCTTGGTGGCATTGGGCTCACCTCTTCTGATTCTGAGCGACATTGTTTGCCTTTGGTTTTGCTGCTTGGGAGAGATAGCCAGGGCGAGGCAGACAGTAAAAGAAATAAGAAGCGAGGAAAGGAATGCTGGGAAGAAGGTTCAGGGCAATGACAGGAAGAGAAGAAGACCTGAGGCAAAGAGACAAAAGGCCAAAATGAACAGAGAGAAGAATTACGTGTGGCTAGGAACTACGGAACTGAGAAATGCCAAGAATCACATATTGATTTGAATAACTACTGCAATTAAATCTTTAATTCTGGTGAACAGTTCATATCCATAGCCAGGTAAAAATACCCATTGCGTCCCACTCACCTGGGAGTAAGCCCCGTTGAATTCCATGTGGCTTTCTTCTGAATAGACGTGATTAGGATTGCGCTGTAAAAGCCTTTTGAACAGGGAACGTTTCAACAACTTCTGAATGTCAGAAGTTGGGCACCTGTGTGTCCCTGTGGGGCAGTGTTCCAGAGGCCTTGGGACCCTGTTTCTAATCCCCACAGGTAATTCATTGCCTAGAGCTGATTTGCTTATTGGGTCATGCAGCCACAATCTTGCTTTGCCTTCTATTGAGATGTTCCTTCTAGAATTGTAATTGCATAGAATTTGGATGGTATGGTTTAAAAATTTATAAGCTGCATTCTGCCTCCCCCTCCCACAGCTGCTGCCAATGCATGTTATAAACTCCATTTTTGAAGCTCAGGAAGCATTATATATATAGGTTAATACTCTTTCTTAGATAGAAAAGGTGCAAGTAGCACTGCTATCAAGACAGTACATTGAAAGGGTACCTTTTGCTTTGAATAAGTGAAAGGACAGACAGATGGAATACATAATGTGAGCACTGGAGGGATAAAACATGAACATATAGTGTTGTTCAGGAAGGCCATTAACATTCCATAAGGGTTTAAGAAAACAGAGATGACCTCTTTAAAATGTACAAAACACTTCTTTAAAATTCCAAACTTGTAGATTAAAAGAGAAACACTGAAATGCACAAATAGATTTGAGAGAGAGAGAAAATTAAATGGGCTTCCCCCTCGTAAGTAACCACAAAGCCATACATAATTTATGAATGTGTGTGTGTATATACAACTTTTCCCCCTTAAGGGTTCGTCAGACACATTGCATGACCCAGTAATGGCTGCCTGTCTCTTCTAATCCTCGAGACCAGAAATGATCAGCTAGCAGTTCACAGGCCAGCTCTCTCCCCGCAGAGCAACTTTATCTAGCCTCCAGTTTCCCTACCAATTTTTAAAGCAAGCAGAGTAGGAGGGGGAAATGTGCAAACGATTTCCTTTGCAGAGGAGAAAATGCAATGGGATTGTGTTTGTATCTCATACGCATTTCATTTCGTGTCCCTTTCAAACCCATACTGGTAAGCAAGGAGGCCAAGGAACACTGCCTTTTGAGAGCACCTCAGCTTTTGCCACAACCTCATACCACCCAAGTGTTCATGCCTGTGAGGCCTTTGCCGGTAGGTGGGTAATGCCAAATTTATTACCACACAAAGCTTTCTCAAAAGTTTTCCTTTGGCAACACACTGCCTTTGACCATGTTTTTTCTGTCTTAAAACACAATCCTATGATTGCTATATTCAGAAGTAAGTCCCACTATGTTCAGTAGGATTTACTCCCTAGTAAGGGAATTCAGAATTTCAGCTTAAGCCATAGTTTTCATACTGAAACTTTCCATAGATTAAATATATTTAAGCTTGGCTAGTATTATAAGAACAGAACAGACTATGCAATGGAGACTTTATTCTGATTTTGCAGAGCATGGAAAGGATTCTGATTTTGTACTTAAACCTGATTATTAATAGATCACTTCTTCAGTACAACCCACCCTCAAACTTGGATCCTAAATCTCTCCCCTACCCCAACAATGCCATCAACAAGCAATTTTTGGAAATACCCTCTTTGAAATTTTGCATTTCCCTTTCATAATGATTTCCTTTAAAAACGATACTGCTTCAAAATAAACATATGCAATAAATATTGCAAATTCTACGCATTTTGTGGGAAGCGCTGTTCTATTTTAACAGACAGGCCTTCATATATTTTTTTCTTTTTTTCATTTTAAAAAGGCAAGTCAGTCATCTCCCATTCCTCCAAAAAACATTGGAATATTACCATGTATTACTTGGTAACGATTCTGTAGCTGCCCAGTCTGCAAGGTATTCTACTTGTTGGGAGACTGAGAGCAACTTCTCATGAAAGCTTTCACAGCTCATTTATTTTGCCTATTCCCTTTGGTTTATCTCCCACTGCAAGGGAACATGAATGCACATGGAACTCCCTGAGCCCTGGTGGAAAGAAAGGATAATTCTCTCTGGTTCATCACCAAGGCAACTGAAATTTCCTATAGAATTTACTTCTCATAGCAGTGTTGGTTTTTTTTAAGTTCCTGCTGTACATCAGCCCCTTGAGAGAAATCTGGAGCTCTGGGGAAGATGGTGTTTCTCTTATATGTGTCTCCCACCATTGATTTGATAGAACTCCTCTTCCACAGCCTTCCCACAGAGTTAAGAAGTGTGCAAAGCCCTTTATGCCTCCTAGCTTAACACTTGGCTGAAAAACAGCACTGTCCCTTGAGAGAAGGCTTACACGAACACAGTTTTATTTAGTCTTTAATAGATGTCTTCACAAATGTTGCCCTGGTTCATGCATTGTTATACTTGATGTCTTTGCATTGGGGGGGGGGGAATGATAAACCTCCTCCCTTCCATCATGGAGATTAATGGATTGTCTGGGCTGAATGCCTCTCACATAATTTATTTCCCACAAAAAGGGAGGGGGGACTGAGCCTCCATGTGATCCGACCTTCACATGGAGACCCTGACTCAAACATTTGGGTTGGGTAGAGGGGATAGACCGCATTGTTCCTTCGCCTCACAAAGGCCCTAGGGAGTGTATGAACCAGGCCCTTGACATTTACATATATAATGTCAGTGGCTTTTTGTGTGCTGGCACCACACACCTTTCGAATGGTTTTTTTCCTTCCAAGCAGCTCGCACTGGCCTGATATTGCTGGGACATTCTATTCTAACCATTCACCAACAAGTCATACCTTAGGCACTAATTATTACCTTTTGATTACTTCATTGATCAGCCATCAAGTCCGTATTTATCGGTGTGATGCTGATAATGCCAAGGTTGTTTGGGTGTTTTCATTTTGTTTAATCCTTTAAGCCACAGCCCTTGGTACCGTTCATCAGTAGCATCTCATCTGATACAAATTTGTTGGTTTTTTTAGTTCCAAATCTATAACAATACCAGTAATTAATGATAGATTCCAACTAAATGTCAGGAAGAATTTTCTGACGATAAGAGCTCTTCAACAGTGGAACAGACGTCCACAATAGGTGCTGGACTCTCCTTCCTTGGAGGTTTTCAAAGCAGAGCTTGGATGGCCATCTGTCATGTGTGATCTAGCTCAGATTCCTGCACTGCAGGGGGACATAATGGGGACATAACAAAAACAACAACAACCTAGAAGCTATTTCCCCAGAGGGGAACCATACTGGGCTCTCCCGGCTAGCTTAATGAATGCCTGTACAGCCCGGCATGACATTTTTCCTGTCAAGGCAACTGACACTGAAATGAGAAGTGTCAGGCACAGTGCATGCAGCAGCACGTCCCTTCTGCTTGTTCCTGCTACTGCCTGCCCCCCACCCTGCAATCTAGAGGCCCCACTAAGGAGATGCTTTGAGAGGTGGTACCACAGGGAAAGCACACTGGTTGGGGTCTGCCAGGAGGGAAGCAAGGGGCATGTTTCCTGGAGGAGCCTCAGATCTAATCCTAGATCTGCAAACATGGCCACAGAAGAAGCCATCTCTTGAATCCTAATCCATCTTGTATCTGCCACTGATGAGATGTTTGAAGGAGAGCCTCTAGAGCAGCCTTTCTCAACCTGTGGGTCCCCAGGTGTTGTTGAACTACAACTCCCATCACCCCTAGCTAGCAAGGCCAGAGCTCAGGGATGATGGGAGTTGTAGTCCAACAACATCTGGGGACCCACAGGTTGAGAACCGCTGCCCTAGAGCATACTTTAAAAGGACAGGCGGGCTCATGCGGGAGGAGCATTCCTGGAGGTGTTCTGGACCCAAGCCATTTACAGGGAGAGCCCAACACTTAATGTTGCACCCCCAACACTATTCAGCGCCTGAATTTGTTGTGGATGAGAAAGGGTATTGGATTTCTGCAAGGTTGTTTACTGGGTGCATTATGAATGTTGGAGGGAAAGGGAAGGGACAGTGCCAGTGAAACATGAGAGGAAAGGAGAAAAGGGAGAGGCACAAGAAGAAGAGGATGCTCTAAATGAAAAAGTTGATTTCTCTGTTCCTAGCATTTGCCCACCACCTGCTGAGTATCTGAGTCCCAAATTCCACGTATTCACTTTCAGTGTGGTAAAGTCATTGCTAGCTTATCATACCTCTTCAATTTCACATGGCAAATAGTTCTTATAACTGTTCCTCCATATGTTTGACAATTGCTATTTACCACATGAGAGAAGCTGTTAGTCTTGGCGCCTTCCACCTGGCATTGTAAATGTCAGAAATGGAAGCATATTCATTAAAAAACATCTACCACATGCATCTACCACCATCTACAAGGTAAAATGAACCCAGGGAGTATCATCTCCCAATATCTGAGCATAGTGGGGAGTCTTATTGGAGAAAACTTAAAATACAACATACACTTACCTAAACTGTAGCAATATATAGTTGCAGCATTGCTTGCTTGTGCAACTAGTTCAGTTGTGTGTTGAATTCTAGCGAAGTCCTTTTGCAACTCTCTCCTCCACCACAGCCCTTCCTCCTTCACCATTAGATTCCATGACATCACGTAATAGGAACATTCAGTGCAAAATGTCTTGTTACATGGGATTAGTGATAGCAATAGGAGTACAGAAACATTTCCTCACCCTTCTGCTATGGGAACTGCATAGACTGGTAGTTTAAGCTAAGATACGGATGTAGCAATTAGGGGGTTGCCACAAGATTACCAAATATTTAATGGGGACACCCATTTTCTTTTCATTGGTTCTAGGTTTATGCAGATCTTGTGGCAGCTTCAAAATCATTGCATGCCAATCTTGCTCATCTTATAATTCCCTGCATATTATGCCATAT